AAGCTCTGCAGATACCTTTCACACTGCCCGGATAAATAAGTCTCTGAATGGAGAACTGAAGGAGATCTAGGAGAAAGAAGGAATAATTAACAAAAAACCCCTCCAAATTCCCTTAAACTATGGTGTTCTATCCCTGTCCTTAGCTGTGCTGTCCATGCAGACATGCTGCAGTTGCTGTGCAATTTTGTCTTTGGCTACAGAGTTCATCCAATAGCATCTTCCCCAGTGCTCTCTTCAGTCTCAGCACTCAAAATTTCCTGTGCCAGAGTTGAAGTGACTGAGAGAAGAGAGGTTTCTTTGTTATGGAAATGATGTGGATCATGCAAATTCAGTTCTGTTCAGGCGCTTTGCCTGCACTATTTTACTCAGAGAAGATGTCTTAGAAACCTGGTGCCCTCTCTTCCCGGTGGAATCTTAATGAAGCTCCCTCGGGAGTCCTGTTTTCAGCTTTGTGTCATAAATGTTTCGCCTTGGCCTGTGTGTCAACAGACAGGCTGTAAAATAAGCATTTTTATTTATTTTCCTATCTCAAGAGAATCTGCAGGGGTAATGAAAGTGGAATCTCAAAGTTTTCTGTGCATGTGTCTTCAACCTGAGACATCAAGATCACATGATCATTGATAAAACTCTGCAAAGAGGAAACTGATAGAAATTTAGGTTTATTAAGGCAGGTTCTAATCGTGGTGTTGACTACTCTGTTTGTTTTTTAAAAGTACAAGCATGTTACATGTCTGTAGCTGAAACAGCTTGACATAAAAGCCTAACAACTTGGTAGTGGTGACAGATCACAGAAACACACAGTGGTTTGGATTGGAAGGGACGTTAAAGCTCATCCAGTTCCACCCTCCTGCCATGGGCAGGGACACCTTCCACCAGACCAGGTTGCTGTAAGCCTCATCCAACCTGACCTTGAAGAGTTTCAGGGATGGAGCAGCCACAGCTTCCCTGGGCAACCTGTGCCAGTGCCTCACCACCCTCACAGCCAAGAATTTCTCCCTGATGTATAATCTAAACCTACTCTTAACAGTTTGAAGCCATTCCCCCATGTCCCGTCACTACATGTCCTTGTAGACAGTCCCTCTCCATCTTTCTTGTGGGCTCCCTTCAGGTACTGGAGAACTGCAGTTTGTTCAGTCCAGAAGGCTTCAGGGTGATCTATCACAAGTCTCTCAGCCTTTCAGATAGTTGTTACTGTCTAAGGAACAGGAGAAAAGCTTCTGTTTCAGATGTTTGGTAAGAAATAGCAGACTTGCTTGTGGAGCAAAATACAGCACTTCCCGCACACATAAGAAGCATTTGTTTCTGAAGACACATTATTAGCCAGATGACTCGTGCCATCACCTTGCTGTTTCCTTCCCTGGTGCCTTTACCCTTTGTTGGCTTTTATTTTGTGTTGAGTCTTATGTACCTCTTTGCATGACCCAGAAGCTTGCTGTAGAAAAACTTCTTGGCTATTCCCTTTGGAAGAGCAGGGACGAACCCTTTGGGGTGCTGGAATATCTGTGAGCCCTGAGAACTTCCAGGCTACCAGTCTACAAAGTCCACACTGTCACCACCGAATAACCCAAGAGTTAGGGCACCTGAGTTATGTTGTGGGCTGGATCACCCTAGATCTTGCTTACAAAAATAAAATTAACAATATCCACTTTGGCAGAGCATTTTGAGCTTTATAGCCAGAGCACTGTATATTTGTTTTCACTCGAGCAGTGCCGTTGGTGTCGATGGGACTTAGTGAAATGTGCTTCCTGAGGCCTTGAACCAGCAATACCAGACCTAATGATCCTCTTCCCAACAGTCTTGAGTTGTTCAGAGAATTTTTTTGACGTGCACAAATAAAGGCACTTAAAAAACAAATAGCACCTGATTTCCATATATAGAGTCTTTGGGAAAAATACCACCCCATCAATTATGTATTTTTTTTAAACACTGCGTTTTATTTCTCTGTCTAAAGGGGCCCATTTAATACTGCGAGTAATGTTCTGAGTAATACCGGGCTTGGCACAAATGAGGTGCTTAACTGAGTTCCTTGTTTTTATTATCCATTGTCTGCTAACCAGTTTGTTGTTTCATTTATTTGCCTTTTCCCAAGGGAAGGGAGGATGGCAGCTCGGCGCACGCTGAAAGCTGTCTTGGTGGATCTCAACGGCACACTTCACATTGAAGACTCAGCTGTGCCAGGCGCGCAGGAAGCTCTTAAAAGGCAAGTTACCTTTTCTGATTTCCTCTGGTAGGTTATGTCAGCACTGTCTGCACAAAGATGCCTCTAGGTAAACAGGCCTGAAGCCTCTGCCTCTTGATTCTGTTGTGGTAAGCAAATATGTGGCCAAATTCTGCTTTTATTTACACCTACGCTAATCCCAATAGAATTCAGCAAAGGGCCTTGCTATTGAAAAGTTGCCTTGTGTCACCTGAGACCCTGCAGCTTTCCTAAGTAGCTCTCCATGTGTTTTCTAAGCCTTTTCCAGAAAGAAGAAACAATGTTCAAGATGTTTCCACTAATTCATATGTGACTACAGTCTTAGCCGAAGTGGAGACTACTTGAGTTCAGCTGAATTACCCCACGTACACCCTAATCACTTCAGCTGAGTTGTTCCTCGGTGCTTTGTGTAACTACAGGAGCCTGGTTGTGTGTCAGAGCTCTTAGATCTGTGCTGAGCTAATAACAGAAAACTGGGCCTAGCGAGCCATCTTCTGCAGGGTTCTCATTTCATTTGGTCTTCCAGCCAAGGCTTTACTTTATTATTTTTAAATTCTCTTTCTGCTAGGTAAACAACCCCAGTTGTGGTTGCTTTAGTTTGAAAAACATCTGATAATACAGGCCATCTGTTTTAGGAACTTCAATGTCTTAATAAAAAGGAGAGTTAAATACCTCTTGCTCTTCTGATGAAAGGGTGCCTAAAGAAACATAGGCATAGTAAAATGATTTAATCTGACCTAATCAGCAGTTAAATAGGATACACAATCCCAGGAATATTTGTATTGTGCTATGACACTGTTTTCTTGGAGAAGGAATCTTGCAATGGATAAGGAAAGCCACAAAGTGATACATACTATCTTGCTGAGTGAGGGGCAACACCTTAAGGTGCTGGGACGGTAAGAATTAGTCCGGAGAGTGGAACAGGGTTGAAATAAGGATGAGAAGTCTTTACTAGAGTTCTGTGGGCTGCTAAGATTTGTATACAACTAGACTGTTGCTCAGAGGAGAAGTTCACAGAGCAATTAGGAAGCTCTGCATTTCTTCTCACAGATAATTCCATGGAAATAATTATGTCCTAAAGATGTAAAATTGCAGGGAAGTAAAATAATGCTAAAACATCAGGTACTCATTCATTACCCTTTCACTTACTGCACCATGTCATCTTGGTGTTTCATGATGCAGGAGAACTTGTGCCAGGTGAGAGTCAGCATTTTTGAAAATCCATATCAATTTTCCTAAGAAACATTTTTGTATATAAATGATACTGTCGAGAAGAACTCTGTATCTGTCCTGTCTGCTCTTACCTCCAAATCCCAGGCAGCAGAAATGGCTTCTGTAGAATCGGAACACAAACTGTTTTCTAAAGCCACTGATTCTCTATTTTCTTCTGCTTAATTGCTCCTCTGCTGTGCTCATGAAGGCCATGTGCTGGTTTTGGCAAGGGAGGGTGCTAGAGAAGGGATAAGGTGCTGTTTGTGAGGTTCATCCTGCTGTCACAGGTATGGAAAGCAGGTGCCGTTGCACTGCAGAGAGCACATTTTCCTTAGAGGTCTGAAAAAAATGCTTTCTCATGCTGATCATGCTGATCATCTCATTCTGCTGATCCATGATGTTGTCCTTCCTAAAGAGAAGCTGAAATGATTGGCATGGAGCTTGCTTAGGGAACAAATGCATAGATGCCATTTTTAGGGTTACTTCTCAGTATTAAGGTCCGTAGGCAAAAACAATTTATATTTTATTGATATGCTGGTTTGGGTTGAAGTAGAGTTAACTTTCTTCACAGTGACTAGTATGGGGCTATGTTTAGGATTTGTGCAGAACACAGAGTTGATAATGCAGAGATGTTTTTGTTATTGCTGAGCAGAGCTTACATAGAGTCAAGGCCTTTACTGTGTTCCGTACTGCCACGCTGGCAAGGAAGTTGGGGATGCATGGGAGATTGGGAGGAGACACAGCTGGGACAGGTGACCCAAACTGACCAAAGGGATATTCCATACCATATGACATCATGCTCAGTATATAAGGTGGGAGGAAGTAGGAGGAAGAGGGGACACATGGAGTGATGGTGTCTGTCTTCCCAAGGAGCCGTTACCAGAAGTTGGGGGTGCATGGGAGACAGGGAGAAGACACAGCCAGGACAGGTGACCCAAACTGTCAATATCCAAAGGGATATTCCATATCATATGGCATCATGCTAAGTATATAAACTGGGGGAAAGAGGGAGGAAAGGAGGAACATTTGGAGTGATGAGGTGGATGTTTGGAGCAATGGTATCTGTCTTCCCAAGTAACCATGACACATGATGGGGCCCGGCTCTCTGGAGATGGCTGAATACCTCCTGCCCATGGGAAGCAGTGAATTGATTTCCTGCTTTGCTTTGCTTGTGTGTCCAGCTTTTATTTTCTCTATTAAACTGTCTTTAGCTCAACCCTTGAGTTTTCCTAGCTTTTACCCTTTCTCTCCCCTATCCCATTGGTGGGGGATTGTGTGAGTGGCTGTGTTGTTCCTGGCTGCTGGCTGGGGTTAAACCACGACAGTTATCAACAAGGAGATGACTTACCACTTCATAGCTGTGAAAGGTCAGTGTATCTGACAAACGAGAGAAGTGTCATGTGCAAGCAAGTCTCCAGCGTTGACCAACTTTATTCTGATGTTCTCCATGCAGTACTGATGCCAGTGTTTGTTCCTATAGCAACAAATAGAGAAAGTGATGGTGGGGGAATAATTAAAGGGAATGTTGTTGGAACTGTCACTTAAAATTATTTCGTTGTTCGGTAGCATGTACTATCAGTGTAGAGCAGTAATGTGGTTTTATGTGATATTGGTGTTCCTCAGGAAGGGGAGCAAAAGCTGACATAAAATCACCAAAAAGGTAACAGAGGTTCCTGGAGCATCCTGTATCTCTGGATAAGCCACAGCTTCTAGGAAATTCACACAGCACATGGAGTTCACTATGTTAATTCAGCAACAAGCTTCTTTTGTTTGTTTACTTTGGTTCAGGATGCAGTTGGTCCAGAATGCAGGACTGGTTTATTTATTATCTAGGTTGAATTAAAAGGCTTTTCAAACCAGCTGTTGTTATCATAGATGTGTTTTGCAGTACTGTGAAGATGGAGTTTGGAATTACCATTTTCCTCCAGAATTTTCCTGGTAGAAGAAGACAGGGGTGAGACTTGGTTTTGCTCTGGTAGCTGTAATTCTTGCCATGTGTTTCACATTACTCTCAAGCCCACAGAAGTTAACAGCCTCATGGTTCTTCTGTGGCACCCAGTGTTCTGGTCTTTTTACCTGCAGCCTTTAGACAAATGGACTGGTTTTAGTCCCAAAGAGAAGCACAGGTGTGTAAACAGAAATACTCCACTGCCAATTTGCCTCTGCTCTTCCTCCATCAGGCTGCGCAGTGCTCCGGTTACCATTCGGTTTGTGACGAACACGACGAAGGAGAGCAAGAGGGACCTGCTGGAGAGGCTGACAAGGCTGGGATTTGACATTGCAGAGAATGAGATCTTCACATCTCTGACAGCAGCCAGAAATCTTCTGGAGCAAAAGCAGGTGCGGCCTCTTCTCCTGGTGGATGACAAGGCCCTGCCTGATTTCACAGGTGAGGTGGTTAGAAAACAGTGTTGGGGCAAGGTACTGAACAGCTAAGTAGACATAGTGCTCTGTTTTGTGGAGTGACAGTTTTATATAGACCACTAGCCCTGATGGAGCCTAAAAGGTGGAACTATGCAGTCATAAAGGTCCTTTCTTCAGACAATCAGGAATTTGGGTAGAGCTCAATATTTTTCATTTATTTCCAGTGTAAAGAAAAGTAAGTTATCACTAGGTCATAGGTAATCTATTGCGCCTACCAGTACAATATCTGATTTCCAACAGAGGTTTTGCTCATAAAGAGCTGAATAACCAGTGTTTAGGCACACACACAGGAGGCTGTTTCTCATAATAGATAATTATTAAATGCAAGATTTCCAGGTAGTTATTGTTGCTTATCCTTTATTGAACATCTAGGTCTCAGCCCCTGTACTTCCATACCTCCACTGGTGACAGAATGTTTATCATCCCAGCGTCTCTAGATCTCTAAAGACCTGGTTAAAAGTTGCTTTACATTCAGGTGTTCCCGTTTCCCTCCCTTGACAATAAGAGGAGTAGAAGGTGGTATGTTCTCACCTGGACATGTCCGGCAGGGGCCTGAAGCTAGACCCACATTATTGTTTCAAAGGTTGTGAAAATATCCATGTTTTTAACATATTTAGGGTTGAAAACTGTGTGTTGTATATTCAGTCTTTCATTTAAAGTCAAGGCAGGAAAAGTGTGGATGGCTTCCCACAGCTCCCTTGCCTCTTGGCTTGTGAACAGAAATCCTTCTGGCTGTGTAATTTAAGTAGGTTCTAATCTTGTTAGGATCTAGAAATTTCTTGTTAAATTTTAGTGCAGTAGTCTAGTTGGTCATCTTCAGACTTGTTCAGGAGAAAAGCCTCTGTGGGCTCTGAGAGCAGTGGAGACTGGTAATCTCTTCTACCTTACATTGTGTCCTGAGAAACATGCCCCCAGCGATATTCTGTGTTTATGTTCTCAGGAGGCTTTCTTGGGTCAGAGACAGCAGCTGTTTCTCAGAAAGTATTTAAATCAGTTTAATCTCCATGTTTCTGGGATCTTTCTATCAGTTTTGCAGATTTGTAAAAGACAGCACAGACGGAGATATCAGACATCAGCAGGGTACATTGGTGCATTATCTGTATTGCTTGAGTCTGGAATGGATTGTTTTGTTTCTTTTTGCTACAAGGGGTTTGGCTTACATTCAGTGCTGCTCTTGAAACATTTAAGTACAATGGAGAATGCTTTAAATTCCTGTTAATGGCTGCTATTGAGCTATTCTTGGCTAATCGCTCTATAAAGTTGGTCACAGATGGATGAATGTAATCCATTCTTGGTTAAAGGACCCAGATGCTTCTGGGTGGTGTCACAAATCCATGTGGCATCTCTGAGTGTACATTTTGCTGGCTCAGCTAACTGAAGGATGTTCGGCAGGAGATGTCAGGAGGCTGTGATGACACTCTGGAGAGCCAGGAGCTCTACTTGTCCCAGTAAAGGTGTAGAGGATATGTTTGCAGGTGGAACAAAAATCCCAGCAAGTGCAGGATGCAGCTGACAACTTAACCTGTCAGAAATAAAATTCTCCGGTACTCCTGTTTATCCAGATAATGTTATTCTGCGTCCATTGCTGGTTCTATTCAGAGGTGGCACTGCTGTGTAAAAACAGTCATATACCTCTGGAGCACTGGAGGTGCAGGCTGTTCTCCAGGGGACTGATCCACAAAGACCTTCCAGAAAAGGTGGAACTAATATAATGTAACAACTTCTACGTCATGCTGCAATACCATCTTTGCCATCTTTGCCAGAGTGATACATGGAACAAAAGTCAGGCTTTATACCCTCCCCTTTCTGTACCTAGAGGGAGTAGAAAAAAATGGATGGGGTTCACTAGTCTTCCTGCTTTACTGTTTTACAAAGCAGATAAATATACGTAGAGAGGGAGTAGATAAATATACATAGAGATTCTCGGGTAATAAACAGTCATTCATCTAAAAGAAGAATTTCTGTGGTCTGCTGCATTTCAGTGGAGGCAGTGAGAGATTCAGTCAACAGTCACTGTTAAGACTGTCCAGCTGCATAGCTGTGTTCATTGTGTAGGATGTCAGCATCTGGATAGATCAACATGGTTTCTGCAGATCTTTCCTCATATCTGAAATACATAAAACTAGTCTGTTTTATGTGTCTGTGTCAGAAAATGCTCATTTTTGCTGTAAAGTGATGAAATGCACTTACTGACTGTGTACTGCTAAGTGTGAATTAAATTCTGTTTGCTCAGTCATGTTTTGATTTTCCAGGGATAGGGACCAATGACCCCAATGCAGTGGTGGTAGGACTGGCTCCTGAGCACTTCCACTACGAGATGATGAACAGAGCGTTTCGGTAAGGCAGCCCCTCGTGGGTTTTCCAATGGTGGCTGTCTTGTGCTGGGCTTTGTACCTCTGCATGTGCAAGGAATTCCTTCTCATGTGAGGAGAAAGGGGTGGTAGGAATATCCCTGTTGTGTGGCATGATTATGGTGTCTTGTTCCATGTCTGACAGAACCACTAACCTCAGTGGATTTAGGGCTATCACCATGAACTTCAGGCAGTCCAGCCATCAGCTTTCAATCTGTAAGTAAGCTGCATTAGTACAGTCACAGTTGTCAATGAGGAGAAAAGCTTAGCAATGTTTCAAGAGGAAGTACATAAAAACAGGTATGTGAGGAAGCATTCACAGTGTAATTCAGGTTGGAAAAGACCTCCTAAGCCATTGAGTCCAACCTTTGACCAAACACCACCTTGTCAGCTAGACCATAGCACTGAGTGCCATGTTTGTTTGTTTCTTGAACACCACCAGGACTGGTGACTTCACCATTTCCCTGTGCAGCCTGTTCCAACTCCTGACCATTGTTTCAATGAAGAAATTCTTCCTGATATCCAGCCTGAATCTCCTCTGGCACAGCTTGAGGCCGTTTCCTCTTCAAGAGAAGAGACAGCTTCTGTGTTGAAAACCCAGCCTTCAGAGCCCAAGTATTATAGGAAAGGAAATCCAGTATTTAGGATAGATTATTCCTTGTCTACCTAATGCAGGGTATCTAGAAATATTTTACAGAATCATAGAATAATCAAGGTTGGAGGAGACCTTTAAGATCATTGAGTCCAGCCATCCACCTAGCACTACCACTGTAACCCCTAAGCCACTAAGCCATATTGCCCAGCAGTAGAGCTAGACACCTTGAATGCCTCCATGGATGGTGAATCCACTACCTCCCTGGGCAACCTATTCCAATGCCCAGCCACCATAAGAGTGAAAAAAATTTTCTAACATCTAATCTGAATCTCCCCTATCTTATCTTATGACCATTCCCTCTAGTCCTCTCACTGCAGGCATGGCAGAAGAGACCATCCCTCACCTCTGTACAGTCCCTTGTCAGGTAGTTGTAGAGAGCAATGAAGTCACCCCTGAGCTGACTCTTCTCAAGGCTAAACAAACCCAATTCCCTCAGTCATTTCTTATAGGATATGTGTTCCGGACTTTTTATGAGCCTCATTGCCCTTCGCTGGACTCTTTCCAGCACCTCAATATCCTTTTTTAAGCGAGGGGCCCAAAACTGAACACAGTACTTGAGGTGTGGCCTCACCAATGCTGTGTACAGGGGGATGATCACTTCCCTAGTCCTGCTGTTCCTGGCCACACTATTCTTGATACCGGCCAAGATGCCATTGGCCTTCTTGGCCACCTGTGCACACTGTTGGCTCATATTGAGCCAGCTGTCCACCAGCACTCCCAAGTCTCTTTG